ACTCGTTTGAGGCAATTGCTTCGGCTTCGGCTCTTGGGACCTTTTCACCAATCATGGTTCCATCCGAAATACGAATCAATCGATAGTGAGTAAAATGATCAGGAATTTCATAATTAATTGGTTTTACCATTTCTTCAATTCCAAGATCTTCTGGAGATGCAACAAGAAGCTGTCTACCTCTTCGGAGTCGATCGGCCGATTTTCTATTTAGAGATCTAGCTTTGAAATAAGAAGTCCATTGAATATCAAGCTCAGCAGCAACACGGTCAAGATAGACATCTTCATCTTCATTTTCCTCTTGTTGAGTTGATCTCATGAGCAAGGAGGAATGATAACTTTTGGTAGAAGAGGATGTTGAATTTGATGAAAATAATAAATTACTAGTTTGTCCGATCATGATGAGAGCTGCAGGGTTGGTGTGGTGCTGATGATGAATGGTTTTTTGCACGCACGATGATGGTGCAAACATGGACAACAAGCCACCATAGTGGCTTGCTGCTTTGAATGTCTGCGTGGTTTGCTTGAGAGAGAAGAAAGGTCGAAAAAGCATTTTTTTGGTAGCTAAACAAGTCCGCTTAAAAACAATACCTGATATCACCCAAATGTTGATTGAATGTTTTTATCATATCATTGAGGTGCAACAATGAAATTTGGCCTTGAACAAGTTGGAACCAGATTGCTATTTTGAGACAACTTTGTTCCAATACTTTTTGAATTCAAAAGAGCTTATAAAAATACTGTTCGAAGCCGTCGTAGCTCAGTTGGATAGAGCACAGGACTTCTAATCCTGGGGTCGTGGGTTCGAGTCCCGTCGTCGGTAGACTTTTATTCGGAAATTGAAGTTTTCACTCTTCCTCAATTTCAGCCTTCATATCGGAGAAGACTCGCTTTTAAAGTTTCTGACCCTCATCATGATTTTCTTCAAAAAAAATGACCTCTCGACAAGTCCAATCCAAACTTCCTCCTCTTCCTTCCCTCCGAGAAATTTTGAAGCTGTATGGTCTGCAAGCGAGCAAACAACTCTCCCAAAACTTTCTACTCAATCTGCATGTAACAGATAAAATAGTGAAAGTGTGTGGTGATATCTCAAAAAAAAAACAGTGGTGGAAATTGGTCCTGGACCCGGAAGTTTAACCCGGTCCATTTTGCAAGCAAATCCGAAACGATTAATTGTTGTGGAAAAGGATGAACGATTTATGCCTGCTTTGCAAAATCTTCAACAGTCTGTAGAGGAAGACAAGATGCATATTGTACAAGGAGATATATTAAAAGTGGATCAATACAAATTAATGGATCACTTTTTAGAACCTGAAGAAAAGATTGTAAATCATGAAGAAATTGCAAATACTGTATTTATTGGAAATTTACCATTCGGAATTGCCACACCGTTATTAATTAACTGGTTAAGAGATTGTGCAAATTGTACGGGAGCGTTTGCTTTCGGAAGAAGAATACCCATGATTTTAATGTTTCCAAAAGGAAGTGGGGTTAAGAATGAGTGCCAAACCTTCCACTAAGGAATTTGGTCGTATCAGTGTCTCTTCACAGAGTCTATGTGATGTGGAACACATGTTTGTTGTGAAAGCAAAAAGCTTTGTACCGGCTCCAGAGGTCGATGCAAGCGTCATGCGTTTAATTCCTAAAACAACACCTCTCATTGATACCTCACTTGTACAATTCGAAGACTTGGAACAATTTTGTAGGATTATTTTCAGTAGCAAGAGAAAACAACTTTCCACAAATCTTGGAATGCGCTTTACACCCAAACAATCAGCTTATATTGCTGCAGGTGCTGTGGAGGGTGGATCTAAAAACATGGAAGCTGTACAAGCAGCTCTCTCTAAACGCTCGCAAGATTTTACTGTTGAGGAAATTACGAACATGGCTAGAAGATTCAAACGTCTTGTTGAGAGTGATCCAAATCTTAAGGATGCCCTTAAAAAGGTCTGATTGGAAGGAGTGTGTTGTGCACAAGCGCAATCACGTAGTTATTGTTACGGCGCCGAATAATAATGACAATAGGGGATGATATTTTCATCTTCATGTGTTGAATTAAACCAAACAATAGAAAATAATATTAGGAATAATCGATTCATTTGAAATAAAGTTATTAAAATTAATTTATTATAGTGTTGAAGAAATGCGAAAACCTTACTCTTCGTCCAAGTTGGCCTCTGGGCTATCGTCCATGGTCAAGTATTGTCTGTCCAAGTTATATAACCTTACGAAACCGTCTTCTCCTCCAGATGCAAAGGTCTTGCCATCTGGTGAAAAGGTCAAAAAGTGGATAGGACCGAAATGGCCTCTCACTGTACCTAATTCTTCTTCAAATACCATATGGAAAAAGTGAGTGTCAAAGTATGTTTGTTTCTTTGCAGTAGTTGTGACATCTTGAGCTGCAGTACCACCTCCTAAAATAATATGGCGTTTGATTGGGGAAATAGCAGCAGTGTTGACGGGCTCTGTGTGTTTGTAAACCTTTAAAAGTTCGAGGGTTTGAGTTTCAAAGAGTTTTGCAGTCTTATCTTGGGAGGCAGATATGAACAACATTTTGTCCTTTGAAAAGGCCAATCTTACTACAGAACCTGTGTGCTCCTTTGTTTGTCCGATCAGTTTACCATTTGTTGCATCAAACATTCTAATAGTTCCGTCCTCAAATCCACAAATAATGGTCTTATTTAAAGGTCCCCAAGCTGCTGCTGTAATTTTCTCCTTTTGTTCAATCTTGGCTGATGGAATTAATTTTCCAGGCTTTGATTCGATTCCTTCTTCTGGTAATCTAAAGATTTGAACAGAAGGTGTTTGTTTGAAGGAAGCATCGGTAACACACAAGAATTGTTTATCATCATCGCTGAATTGAACAACTCTTACAGGAGTTTGAAACTCCACAGACAATAACAAAGTACCAGTTTGAACGTCCCACATTGTTACTTTCATATCGGCAGAAGCGCACAACAATCTTGTTGATGAAGCATTGACATCAATACAATTCACAGCACCGGATATTTTAAAAGTACCAAGTAATTGTCCATTGTTTGTATACCATACAGAGACTGATTGGTCTTTCGAGGCAACAAACAACAAGTCTCCTTCTCTGCTGAATTTGAGCCAAGAGATTGGCTTCAAGTGTGCGTGAAGATTTAAAGGTTTGATGGTCATTTTTTATCATCAAGAATTATTCAATTTATTCATTCAACCTGGTGATGATGATGGGAACAAGTTAAGCCGCATTTCAAGCTTGAGCGAGAGATTTGAAAAGAATTTGCGTGAGTCATTGAGTAGATTGTCTTCTTTCCAGGGTTCCCCACATTCTTTTGGGATGGTTATAACATTGGTCAACCATCATCGTCATGACCACCATTACATTGAAATTGTGAATTATATGATATGGTTGAAAAGTGTTGTGAATTACTGTTGATTGTTTGTTGTTGTGAATTGTTATCAATAGTTTGTAGTTGTGAATTATGACTTGTTGGTGATTCTGAAATATTACTAGCTTGGCTTTGATGATATGTGTTGGCATGTTGTTGTAAAGAATTTCTAATTGTTGTACGTTGCTGTTGTGAATGATTTTGTTGTGTCTCAGTTGACCTCACAGTGTATGGTATGAATCGACAGGAACGAGCAAATGATGTTTCACTTAACACTCTTCCTGATGTTGTTACTCGAGCCGTTCTTGGTTGAGAAAGTATTATCAATCGATCGTCAAACATATCCATACTATGATCTTGGTGTGTACTTAAGTTGGTATGAGTGGACATGTTATCTTCCTCTGGCAATAAATTTCCTACAGCTACTCAATCCGATGAGACGTTGGGGCAAATTCTGTGAAATTTGAAAGTACTTGTTGCTCTACAAATAATCCAATCGCTTGCCTTACTTTTGGGTTAGTGAACACATAGATGACACCAGCTAAGCCTGGGCTATTGGGTGCTATATCATTATATTCTAAATAATTCTTTGAGACGAGAAATTCCAAAATATTTTGCAAATTTTGAGTGGTCAACCAACGGTTGAACTTGTACCAATGTTGACCGTTTCAAATGCATCACCGATATGGAGTGCATTGTACGCTCTAAATAAATAGAGAATGGCATTGATGCATTCTTCATTGTCAAATCTTCGTTCATCTTGCTGTCTTCTTTAATTTCTGATCTAATATTCGTCAATGCTTGGGCGTAAGTTGCAACCTTTGGCCGGGAAGTACGATCTTCTGTATTAATGTCTTTCACTGTATCCTTGTAAATGGAAAAATATCTGGAATTGTTGTTGTTAAGTTCATGATACCACAAATCAATGTCATTCAATATAATTTTCAAATAAGCTTCTCGATCCTTTCGATTGGCAATGGTATCCAAGTTGAAGTATGAAAATCTACTTTCAACCTTTTCATTGTCCAATTCAATTGAACCAAAATTTTCAACCCATCGTTTCAGTGCATCTGGTGAGTCGATCAGGGTATGTGTTCCATTTTGTATCGATGTTAATAATCGATCTGAAAATCCCCACTTACTTCTCTCATCTTGGCTAAATTCGAATAATTTTCTGGAAGTCATCCTACTTAATTGTGGATGCAATAAAGCGCTAGCATAGGTAAAGGAATAATCTTCATAATCACCCATAATCTTTTCCAATTCTTTCACACCCTCCCTCGAGCTCTATTGAATAGAGTATGATCGACGTTGTCTGGTGCTTGTAATTGTTCAAGACGTATGGAGTTCCAAGAGTTGATATATTCCAATAAAAACTCCATAGTATTATTAGTTCTCAATTCTTTAAAGATGGCTCTAAAATTGTTCATAAAATATTTTGTTGACTTGTAGGTCTTCTAAAAAATCCTCATTCTCAAGTATATCCAACACATCGGACCAAGTTGCTTGAATGTTCTCATCTCGTTTGTCAATACCCCATTCAATCTCTGCTCTATAAATTGGTTCTAAATGATCTAAAATAAATACAGCAGCACGTGACACGCTTTGCCATCGAGTGGACACTGGTAAGGGAGGCTTCATTACATCATTAAAATTATTAAGGTCATCAATAATAATAGTACCATCTTGTGAATTAAAATAATTTTCAACAAATTGAAAATCGAATTTCAAAATAGTCACCAACCAGCGTAACGATTTCCAATCCGATCGTAGCTTTCGAACCACCTTTCCAACATGTCTTTCAAAGTCCTTATAGCATGTAATAAAGTGTTTGTATACCAAATTCAAATTATGGCCACAACAAGTAATCAGTGTTACGTTGAGCATGGTTGGCTTGGCAACTGCAATCACATTCGCCCCATTATCGGACATCATAAAGTCAACACGACGGCCATTCCATCCACTCTCAGCTTGTTTCACAGTTTCAAATAAGGTCTGTGCTGTTTGATTTAACATGGGTTGAATTTTGAGCAAATGGTTGTCCTTTTGTACTTGAGTTTCAATTGACGCTCAAGTTGATACATTTTACGAGTGTCTTCTTGACTACGTAGCTGTTTTCTGAGCAACATGGTGTATTGTTCTGAAATTATTTCCAATTCCTCTTCATTCAAATGTTCAATCATGTTATAAAATATAGACACAAAACCATCACTTTCATCAATCATACGAGTAATTTTCCCTGGAGCATGTCGTAATTTATCATTAATAATTTCATCTATGGCTCGGGAAATGGCTTTCATGTGTCTTGAAAGACAGCTATCCGATGGCACATCTAATATCTTTTTCCAAAGAATACGTGTTGGAAAGCATTATTACAAATTTCGAGTTTTCGGATTGGTATGTGAGTTTCCTTGAGTGCTCGAAATAAATTCAAAATGTAGTGGGAGTGGTATTCGGTGCGATTATTTTTTGCGGGGTAAGTGTAGCTGCAACCACATTTATGCCTTGAATGTCCATTCGTCGAGATTGCTCTTCGATTGGTAATAACACATCTTGAGTAGAAACTGTCCTTGAATTAATTTCTCGAGAGGAGTGTTGAAGAAGGTTATGACGGACCCATTTAGAATTCTTGTTTTGTTTAACTCACTCATGTGTGAGATAAGATGAGTCACAATACGATCCCTGCGATCTGACTTGTATCCACATAAACAAGTCAAAGAAAGATCTGTGCGAGCTTTAAGTGCGTTTACGAGTGATCGATTTCTCAAATTTTCTACATACTGCGCAGATGGCATAATAGTGTTCAATTTTTTTGTTTGCTAAAGCAACAACATTTAACGTACTTCATTCGATACCAACCTCACTCTGGATATAGTAGTCTTCTATTCCTGACGTCAACACTGTTGTTCCTTTCAGAGTTTTGGACTTAAACATCGTATTTGGTTGTCAGATCTGCCAGTTTGTGGGGAACCTTGCTTCTTTCGGTTCGTAACGGATTCATTCGGAAATACCCAATTATCTCAAAACCAAGGTTCAAAGTCCATTTGTTCATGATGACATCACTTCAATCTTCCCTTGCCACGATGCGCACCTTCAAAAAACG